CGTCGAATTGACCCAAATCATCCAAAATGCTGGAAAGATTCTGGGATACCTCAGTAGATGGTATGGGAGAGGACGGAATTGGAACCCAAGTGCCAAGAGGATCCACCACGGCTGGGACTGAACTCCAGGAGGGTGCTGGAACAGCTGAAGATGCTGCAGGGACAGTGGTCGCTTTAGCTGTGGTTGGCTCCAAGGATGTAGTCATCACTGGTCCAGTAGTGGTGCTTGCCCGTGTTTGAGTCGAAGTTTTGGTTGTGAGAGGGTTTTTGATGGTGACTGCTGTGTTTGTAGTCATCACTTCAGGAGCCATTGTCCTTGTTGGTTCCCTTTGAGCCTGTTTGGTTGGTTGTATCATCTCCTTGTCCTCTTCTTTTGGCAGACTTTGGTTGTCTTCAAGTTCTTGGACTTGTGCAGGTTTTTCTGAAAAAGGAATCAAAAAAATTGATTAATCAGGTCTATATTCCAAACTATTGAAGGGGAGTACTTACTTTCATACTTGAAGAAGCACAGTTCCCAAGGTTGAACCACTTGTTCCATGCCTTGAGTCTTCCCCTTGCAATATGTTCTAGTAAACAGCTTGACCACCTGAAAAAACAAGTCTAATTATTCTTCTTGTTACAGAAAAATTCAGAAGGACAAAGGAAAACTACAAACCTTCAATCCCTTGTACCTCACACAATCCAAATCCAGTCTGGTACCCTGGAAGTCAACAGAATGTCCAAATCTGCCTGGCTTCTTCACATCACAGACATCTTCACACACTAAGATGCCTGCAACATTGCTGCAAGCTTCCAGATGACCACTCAGCACCTGAAGATTTCACAGACAAGGAAAAAGCTGAAATTTTGGTCTTTCAAGGCACTTTCTGTTTCAAAACTTACCAAGAACAGGATAGATGTCACTGCTACCAAAGTGAAAGATCCCATCTTTTTGTCCGTTTTGACCGGTTCTTGAGTGTTCCTGACTCACAAAAATATTCTGATTCGTCTTCTGAAAACCGTTTGACTGTAGAGGGCGCCGTTCTCCGTCCCCGTCGTACGCTGTTGTCGTCTTCGTAGCGCGCCGTCGATCTTTTTGTTGATTTAATTTTCACGCGGAATCCAGTCTTGAACACGAAAAACTGTTTAAAATCAACAAGGGAGCAATATTAGAACAAACAGGGCACAAGAACACTGCAATCAAAACCTTCAACACTCACCTGCAGTGAGATGCTTACAGTTCCAAAAATCACCCAGAAATGAGCTCTGAGCACATTTTTCATGTCTCAGGAAGGGATGAAACAAGTCTTGAGACTTGTTTTCATTCAAGTGTGTGACTTTTTGCCACATACCAGTCTGATTGGACTGGGTGAACTCTGCAGCATCTCAGGGAATTCCTGAGCCTTGGGTGCCCCACAAAATGTGTGTGAGGCAAAATATC